GTGTGTGTGTGTGTGTGTGTGTGTGTGTGAGTGTGAGTGTGTGTGTTCAGCAGCTGCCACGCAGAATTACAGGCCCTTATAATGAGATCTCAATCAAACCCCCACCCAGTCTGACCCCGACCCTAAAGGCCCAGTCATATGAAAATGAGGGTCAGGTCAAAGGTCAGGGTCAATGTCTGCCTCAGGTCTGTCTGTCTCACTCTCACTCTCATGAACATGAACTTCAGCAGAAGCTCCTGCAGCGACTCTGAATCATTCAGCCAATAGAGAATCATTCTGGATTCAAACACACTATTTGTATTTTCTAATTGAAATAATAAAGAAATTACATATAAATCGGTGGTGCACCAACTAATCAATGAAAAGCAATAAAGGAAAATAATCAACAATGGAAGTAATTATTGATTGTTCTGGATATACATATGACTCAATATTTTAAAGGAGAACAACAGGCAACACACATTCAATAAAATGCTTTTATATCTGATTAATCAAACAACTAATCAACAGAATATTTATCAAATTCATTGTTAGCTGCAGCACTAATATATATATATATATATAAGTATAAAGTTAACAATAAATTATCAATCTAACATCAATTCGATATAAATTTCTCTCCTAAGTGAGAATGAAGCAAATTAATCTACACAGAGATCAGATGAACTAATGACTGCTAATTGAACTCATTAAAGACTTAATGAATAACTCTGTTAATAACGCATGACTTATTTGCATATGAGCAGCAATATTTACATTATCATTGACTGAATCAATGAAATGAACAGTGTTATTAGTTCTAAACTATTATACTGATATTTCCCAAAACATCAATAAACCAAAATCAAACAAACAAACAAACAAACAAACAAAGCATGGCTGCTGACAGATGAAGGAGTTCTGAGGAGAGAAAGAGTAAAAGCTGAGACTCACCTGAGACTGTGATGAGCAGCAGCAGCAGTGCTGAGAGTCTCTCCATGATTCCTGGTGTTCAGATGATGTTTTATAAACTCATGACGGATCAAATCAAACGTGAATATTCCTCAGTGCTGCTTTATTCCTCATCCAGATATTCCTCACGTTATTCCTCTCAGAGTCACTGAGCGCGTGTGAGAATCAGCAGCTCTGTTGATGCTCTCAGACTCCAGCTGGGCGGGGCCACGCGTCACCAGCCAATCAGAGAGCAGCTGGAGACAAGAACACGCCCCTTACACAGAGGTACCGGTGTCCGGCACAGTACTACAGATCAGATGCTAATACCATGATATTTCCTGTTGTAAATGGGTGTTTCTTCATCTTTCAGGTTTTTTTTTATTAAACAGGCTAATTTTCAATGTTTCCTTTTATAATAAGAAGTGGAAACCACTAAATAAATCATAATGTCTGCTTCATATATATATATTCAGGCACCTTCAACATTTCTCACATTACTGTATATAACAGTTTACTAGCTATAGTTTAGAAAGTGGTAATAAAATATGACAAGAACTCTGAGTTAAACTGTGTCAGAAAAAAAATCTTCTTGATAATGTCAGATTACTTTGATAGAAAGGTATGTAACGGATTACAATCAACCAAAAATTATTCAGCTGTTACATTTAAGTACACAATTAGATAATACTAATTGAGCTCAACCAATTACCAAGCAGTGCTTAATTTTGTTCAGTCTGTGGTGTAAAAAGGTTGCATTAGCAATTAAAGAAAAAACACTTAAGCAAAACATGGTCAGGTCAAAGTGTCTGAATGTTTTTTGATCCCAAATTTTACTGGTAGTCCACTGTATGAAGAATTTTTTGGGGGTATAATATGTCACAGTTCACTTTATTTTTTGCTATTCTCACTTACATAAATGAACTATACACTCTAAAAAAAAAGGTTCTTCAGCGGTTCTTTGGAGTGGTTAAGTTAAGCTATATAGCACCACTACCGTAAAACCTCTAAGCCCCTGTATAGTTCTTTAAAGGTTCTTTAACTCTCTCTTAGTCTCTTAGTTTAGTTGGGGGAAAGGGTTAAAACAACATTAAAATACAGTCAATTTCTTGATGATATAATTTTTTTTTGTCCCTAAGGCCCCCGTAAGGAAATATTCCAGGGCCCCCACATGAGACCTTTGACCTCAGAAAAAAAGGACCTCTCCACAAACAGCATCACCAACTTCACACATTACTAACCAGTTAGACTTTATTTCTGGAGTATCTAAAACAGAAGTTCTTTATTGAGAATTAAGGTTTAGATGTTTTTTTTCCCTTCAACTTACCGTTTTGGTGAATAGTGTTTGCTTTAGTTGCCTCTTGACCCTTGACTTTAATTTTAAGTTAAAATAAGTTTCTCTTTGGCTGTTACAATA